ACCAATGTTACCTTTTCCAGTATAAAGAAGCGGAAAACAACCGTAAATGTTGGGCTTTCCAAGTCAAAGAACTACTATTTTCGCACGGTTTTGGTTTTGTTTGGTTTAAACCAAGGCGTGGAAGATAACTGTAACAGTTCTTTTTGTCTCTATTCACCCAAAGAGTTCATGATACGTACAAACCAACTTGGTTTACAGATCTCAACAATTATCCTAAACTCGATAAATACAGAGATTTTAAATTGATTTTGGATGTGAAAAATATTTGCATTTAATAAAAAACAACAAGTTACGTTCTGCGCTATGTCAGCTTAGAACATCATCCCACAACCTTTGGGTTGAATCTGATCGTAAACTAAACATACCGAGGAATATGAGAATCTGTAAATTATGTAATTTAGGGTTGGTTGAGGATGAATACCATTTTTGCCTGGTATGTCCACGTTATGTAAATCATAGAAACAAATATTTACCTATATTTTATCTGTCAAATCAGACTTACGAAAAATTTCCTCGTTTAATGCAGTTTGACAACTTATCTATACTTCAAATTTCAAAATTTGTATTCTACGCTTCTAAACATAGAGTCAATCTATTTAACCAGTTGTGACTAGTAGATTCAACAATTATTTAAAGGAATCCCTCTGTATGTATTTTTCTATTTTTTTGATTAATTGTACCATAGGCCTGAGGCCATTGTACTGAATAAAATTCATATCATATCATGTATGTTTTATGCAGTGAAAACAGGGATTACACGCATCTACTGGTGGTATATATGAACAATAAGTTTTAAATTTTTTTTAAGTTTTTTGAGTGCCCTATACTGGGGGACTTAAATTTGAGCAAATATTTCACTGTGTTGTGTCACCGTCCCTCAAGGTGTTGAGGGACGGTGGTTGTGTATTGCATTGTGGCAAAATGTTTTCACTAGCATTGCTAAAAGACTTTCTTCCAATTCTTCTGCTTTATTATTGTAAAGTCGCACTGTCTAAATCTCTAATCCATAAATTATGTGTTGTGCCTTTCTCAGTCCCCTTCATCATAATATGACTAGAATTGAGATGAACTTTTATGCATTGTGTTCAACCATGGTGCTAACAAACTCAACTTACATGCTATTTTGTCTCTAGCTGCAATTTTTATTTGAACTGCCAGCAAGACTAAAGAAGTGCATTGAAATGAAGGCATATGGACAAGCTGTCAGGTAACTAATTGTTAGAAAGTACAGTAAAACCTCAACTAATTTAAAATATTTAGTGAAAATAGTTAATGTTACAAGTGCAAATATAAATAGAAACGAAAATCTTGTTTTTCTTGTTCATAAATTAAAAGAATATTCTGTTATCAATTCAATGAGTATTTTCGTGTCAAACAGCGATTTATTTTTTTCAAACAAAACATTTAATGCAGTGAACTGATGACCAGTGATCAGCAGCTAAGTAAGTACATGTTATGGTGGGAACAGTGTTACATTGTTATATGTATTACATTGCAGATATTACACTAAAGCCAGGACAGTGTTACATTGTTATATGTATTACATTGCAGATATTACACTAAAGCCAGGACAGTGTTACATTGTTATATGTATTACATTGCAGATATTACACTAAAGCCAGGACAGTGTTACATTGTTATATGTATTACATTGCAGATATTACACTAAAGCCAGGACAGTGTTACATGTATTACATTGCATATATTACACTAAAGCCAGGACAGTGTTACATTGTTATATGTATTACATTGCAGATATTACACTAAAGCCAGGACAGTGTTACATTGTTATATGTATTACATTGCAGATATTACACTAAAGCCAGGACAGTGTTACATTGTTATATGTATTACATTGCAGATATTACACTAAAGCCAGGACAGTGTTACATCAATATCAACATATGCCATCTTTTAATAGCATACAATTGGACTGTAACGATATCATAGCAGAATTAAGAACTCATCTTAGAGAACAGTTTCGAGACAATGAAGTAAGTCACTTTTAGTGGTTTGAATTGAAAAAATAATATTCTACTGTAATCATACCAAATTTGAATTGATATGAAATAATAGAAATATCAATTGAAAATATTATACTGGTTCTAATTGGAAATGAAATTCTACCTGATTTGCATTAGAATTGAATAGGAAATAAATAACACTTGTTTTTGATTAACAAATTATACCAGATTTAAATTGAAAATAAAATGGAATGTGTTGGAACTATACTCAATTTTGTTTGTTATAAAATTATTCTGGTTTGAATTGGAGATGAAATTATTCTGCTTTGAATTGCAAATAAAATTACATGTATTCTGGTTTGAATTGGAGATGAAATTATTCTGGTTTGAATTGGGAATGAAATTATTCTGGTTGAATTGGAAATAAAATTATTCTGGTTTGAATTGGAAATGAAATTATTCTGCTTTGAATGGAGATGAAATTATTCTGCTTTGAATTTAAATTGGAAATGAAATACTAGAAGAAATTTTGAAATAAAATTATACCAAATTTAAATTGAATTAATTGAAATTATAAACAGTACATTATTGTATATTATTAGAATAAGTGACAAAGCTCCACCAAAATGTTGTATGACCACCAAATATTGTATGATTGGGGAATGTGGACACAATTTGGTACATGCAATGTTATCATCTGAGATTCAAATACCTCATTTTCATTTTACATGTGCATACTGCTAGTAATTTATTTCTGTACAGGTTGTTCTCAGTTACCATGGTAGCAAACTTACTCATACTGCATGTAAATAATGCCCTTTCCTGTTTTTCTAGAATGATTAAAATAATAAATTAACATTCATTAAAAAAGCAAGCTGCTTTAATTCATTTAAACCCATCATTTTGCAATCGATTTGATAATCTTATTACTAAGAAGACATCTTAAAAAAATGCTGTTGAGTATATTATTATACAATTATCCATTGTATGAGTATGTATGCTGAGTGGATCATGTGTAGTTTTCATGCATGCATGGAAGACTGTGGATGAGTATAGTCTAATCTAAGCATCTTGGCATGACAAACTTGCATAGTAATTTAACCAACAATTTCGTAATATGTAAACACTATAAAAACTAACTACTGTTTGTAGTGGTTTGAGGATGATCCTGAGACTCCAACATGGCGATATCGACGTCATAGTACCAGTAAACCTGAAGTCAACCTCAAAGATCATGTGAGTTGTGTCAAACATCTGTAGATGTGCCTTATATTGTAGTAAGGTGCCAGAGTTTTTACAGAGTTCAGGTGGTCAGGTGTGGATGAACCTTTTTGAGTCTGTTTGAGTGTTACAGTGTACATGTGAACATCAATTTGTTTTTCATTTCTTTGGACATTTGAATGAGTAGTGTTTATTTCTGTTAAAACAAACAAATAAGCAGAATTTCTTCATTGAAGGTTGTTTATGTATTTCTAATATTCTGGAATGTGTGGACAGACAATTATGATCATGACCATTAACCTATTGATATATTGTTTGCGAAGCATGTGACTAATTCCAAGGCATACATGTATGCATATGATATTCACAGGAAATGAATATTATGGATTAAAGATCATTTGTTCTCATTGTATCACTATTCCCCACACAAGATTACAGCTTGACTCCTATACAATGGTCTGGGGTAGCATTTCATAATTATTATAAATAAATACTGTGGATTACTTTATTTTTGCTTGGAATTAATTATCGATATTTTCGCTGAAGAGATGATTCAGTGAAAATAAAATCCAGCGAATATATATTTTTCCTATGTTTTAGATTCAACTTGTCAAAAATCAGTGAAAATAAATTCCATACAAAATACTTAAAAAGTTTTTTCAGCGAAAATTAATTCTAGCTAAAATAAAGTATTCTACAGTAACACATTATTGATAAGCATTATTGAGAACAGCTAGTAATAATATTATCTTTACTGACATATCTAAAGCCCAATGTTGTATTATCACACAGGGTTCTAATACAATCAAACTTGCTAATTAAACCATACATGTTAGACTGAAACCAAATTATAACATAAATCAACTAGGAAACAGAAATAAAAGCACAACATTCTCGCTGAACAAAATTAACAATTACCAAGAGTAAGTGTCTTGTCTTCCAGTGCAGGGAAGGGAAGGTGAATTGTTGGTAAGTCAGTAATACCACCAATTTATGAAGTATGAAATGTTCAAACTGTAATGTGTTTGTCTGAAATTGACATACATGTATTCAAATATGTTTCACCAGCTTTCTGACAGCTTGGTATAGTTATATCATCTGCAGATTCTTTTTGTATTTCAGTCTACACCTAAACAGCTGGCTGAATGTGTGGATCTTCTGATGCAGCTCAAAGAACCAGCAGATGAACTTTGTGATGAATTCCTGTCTCAGTAAGTTACGTCTCTCAAAACAACTGTAGCATAGCATTCATTTATATTTGTTATTTGGGGCTTAGTCTTTTTCCACGAAACGAAACCCTAACCCTAACCTTAACCTTAAATTTTGAGCGACTTCAAACATCGCCACGTCACAGAAATAAATTTGTCAAGAATATTTAGTTTCCACCTCTTTTCCGCCCACTTTGCAGCTTGATTTGTTTGTTCTGACATGACGTGACAGCCATTTTTGAATTGTTGAACACTGATGACGCTATTCATTTTGTGTTTCGCAGTGTGAAATTTTCTCAGATATTATTAGGCCAATGAAAAAAATGCGAGTTAGGGTTTTGTTTTGTGAAAAAGACTAAGCCGTTATTTGGCACATATTGTAAGTAAACATGATATAACACAATGATTGACAGGGCTGATACTGGAATTATCTATCTTATTTCTAGTACCGTTTTCCTGACTATTACTCTTCTGAACTGTTCTCATCAGGTTCCTAGTTTGCTATAAAGTAGTATACAGAATCTTGCAATTAAGTAATTATTCCTAAAAACTATTTCAGTTCGCAGCAGAAGTTGGATGAAGATTTGGCAGAAATGGAAGCTCAGTTGCAATTAAAGCGAGAAGGTTCGCCTAATCTTCCTACAACAGACAGCAAAGAAATTGAACAAGCATTACGAAATATACCAATGGTAAAGTCATGCAATATCAATAAGAGAATAAATATTATACTTTATTTAGACGATGTAGATGGAGACATGTCACTATAGACCCATGTATGACATAGCCTTTATAGGCATTATAGCCCCATGTGTGACATATCAGCCTTTATAGGCACTATAGACTAATGTGTGACATATCATCCTTTATAGGCACTATAGATCAATGTATGACATATCAGCTTTTATAGACATTATAGACCCATGTATGACTTATCAGCCTTTATAGGCATCATAGACCAATGTACATGTATGACATATTAGCTTTTATAGGCACTATAGATCCATGTTTAACATATCAGCTTTTATAGGCATCATGAACCCATGTATGACATATCAGCCTTTATAGGCACTATAGACCAATGTGTGACATATCATTCTTTAAAGGCACTATAGATCCATGTATGATATATCAGCTTTTATAGACACTATAGACCCATGTATGACATATCAGCCTTTATAGGCACTATAGACCCTTGTATGACATATCAGCCTTTAATAGGCACTATTGACCCAAGTATGACATATCAGCCTTTATAGGCACTATAGATCCATGTATGACATATCAGCCTTTATAGGCATCATAGACCCATGTATGACATATCAGCCTTTATAGGCATTATACACCAATGTGTGACATATCAGCCTTTATAGGCATCATAGACCAATGTATGACATATTAGCCTTTGTAGGCACTACAGATCCATGTATGACATATCAGCCTTTATAGGCATCCTGGACCCAAGTATGACATATCAGCCTTTATAGGCACTACCTAGACCAATGTTTGACATATCAGCCTTTATAGGCACTATAGACCAATGTATGACATATCAGCCTTATAGCACTATAGACCAATGTGACATATAGCCTTTATAGGCACTATAGACCCAATGGTGACATATCAGCCTTTATAGGCATTATACACCAATGTGTGACATATCAGCCTTTATAGGCATCATAGACCAATGTATGACATATTAGCCTTTATAGGCACTATAGATCCATGTATGACATATCAGTCTTTATAGGCATCCTGGACCCAAGT